CCCATTGAGGGCAGGGGCGTGTCCATCTTGTTCATCTAGAGCAATACTTGGCACGTAGGGGGCGCTCGCAGAATAAACACTCATGCAGTGGAAGAGTGGAGCCCCTCAAGTTTTAAGCCTGACCTTTAAGAGGCAGGGTCGGAGATACTAGAAGGGACACAGCTCAAGTGCTGGGTTTGGTGAGAACAAGGATGACCCTCCCCGTTGCAGATGCTCTGGGGGGTGGGTATGAGGGGAAAAACCAAGTTTACAGCAAACGTCCATAGGCAAGGGCTGCAACTCCAGGTGCCGAGAAGGATGTCGCCAATTACAGAATGAGGGCGGGGGAGTGCAAGCCACGATAAGAAAAGCCCAAGGAGAGGATGAAAGGAAGATTGCAAGAGAGGTCAGGAAGATAATGAGAAGCGCTTCCCGCACCTAAGGAGCGGGCGCTGGGGGGCACGGTGGCAGCGCCCCTTCCGAGACGGAGCAAAGGCAATTTATTGACAGACACAGTTTCTGAAAATTAAATGGATCTTTGCCTTGGTATATTCACAAAAGAAGGGCAGAGGACAGATCTTGCAAAGACACACATTTCCCAAGAGATGGAGAAGAAATATCACGGACAGCATGGAGGGTGGGTGGAAAAGAGAAAAAAAAAAAATAACCCTTATTTTCATAGCTCAGCTTCCGACCTTCCGGGACTGGCAAACAGGGTGCAAATAGGACATCGATTGAGAAAACCAATCTCTCGTCGCTGGCCCTGCTGGCCCCAAAGCTGCCAACGGTGTGGTGCCCACGTCGGTCCACAGGGACTGATTTTGTCACGTTCTGTTCCTGGGCCTGAGGCCACCCGGCCACTCCAAACAGGCTCCCGGGCCAAGTGGGGGCCTCCAGAGAAAGCTGCGCCTTTGAAGTTGCCATTAGTGTCTTCCTCAGCTGATTTCTATAAGGTATTGTTTTCCGGTAAAGGAGGAATAAGGGAAATACTTAAACAATAACTGCTCTGAGGGAGTGTGTACAGGGAAATCATTATCTCTTATTGCGCCAATAAGTTTCGAGGCAACGAGCCAAGCTGCTCTTAACGCTGCTCCAGCCCGGGCTGCGGCCCTGGGGGCAGAACCCGCAGGAGAAGGGTGTCACCACGAGATGCCACCTGGAGTCGCCCGGACTGTCAGAGGCACGTCCGAGACCAACAGTTTTTCACATTGTGGGGATCATGATTTTAGATCCTGTGCTTCAGAGAGAGAAAAGATATCCTCATGCTGACAATAAAAAAAAAAAAATAAATAAATAAGAGCTGATGTTACTGAGCCCTTACACGGCGCTAGGCATCGTGATACACACCTTGTGCATAATCTCCTTTAAAACTCATTAAACAATAATAAAAGAGGGTATGATTACCTTGACTTACAGAGGAGGAAACCGAGTGCAGGATTCATCCCAGGTCTGCTTATTTACAAAGCTCGGGTTTTACCCAAGAAGGGATGCCAAGGTCTCCCACTCACCTACTCAATCTTTCTATTTCCTGAGCACATCTTCTGTGCTTAGCAATGTTTTCAGGAGGAATAAGGCATTTATCCTCTGCACTTTCTTCTCAAGGAACTTATCGGGAAGACAAAACTAACTCAGAAGAAACAAGCATCAAATGAAGGGCTAAACTGGCCAAGCTGGAAATCAGTACAATTTCAGAAAGAGTTTGGGGCATGGTAGTTTTATTACCAATTGGAAAATCACCTTCAGATTTTAGAAAGAAAGAAAATGAGATATAAGCCCATAGAATGATCTAGTGTTAGAGTAACAAAGGATTTGGAAATATACAATTTTCTTTGTTTTACAGAGGAAATGAAAGCCCAGAATGGTTAAGTCACACGGTGTTTACTGGGTGAGACCTGGTGCTAGTGGTCTGTATTCCAGCATTTACAATTAACTCCCAAACTACCTTAGGACTCCCAGCCTGCCTACCCAAAGCTGGAGAATTTGGGGACCCAGAAAAACCTCCCCTACTACCCTAAGCCAGGTTTCTGTGCATAACATGGGAGAAATAGGCAGCAGGTAGCACACATAAAGGGGAAAACATATAGGATGCTAGTCTGTTCACTGGAAGAGTTTCTAAAACAACCACAATAGCAATAGAAACAAACACGTAAGCTCTCTTTCCTTTTTTCAACTTTTAGAAGTGTCGTGTGCATGTTGAGAGTTGGGAGCTCACAGCAGTTCTTGTCTGAATCTGCATGTTTTATATCTAGTTTAAATAAGAGGTATCTGGACTTACCTGGTTTTCTTTTGGTTTTAGTTTTCTGATACTTAGGGGAGGTCTTCTTAATTCTTCCACCGGTAGGTCATGGTGGGCTTTGTGGACAGGAGAACCCTGTGGCAATTGACAAGCTTTGATTTGCTTCCTACTTCTGTCCCCAAGTGTCTTCTACATTCAACAGTCATGTGCTGGGGACATGGTGCTTTTCGAGATTCCTTTCCTAGGCTAAGTTTGCCAACTCCCTGATCACAGTGAAGACTCTCAGAGGGTATATGTTTGGGTGGAGTAATTGATCAGATCCTTTCCCAGGAAGTAAGAGATAATGAAAGTACCTGCCTGGTGGAGCGTGGGAGGGGGACAGGGACTTCCACCGCTCAGAGAGGGCTGTCCGTGCACCTGACACGGCCAGGTCCCAGCAGGTGGAAGGCTGGTGGGTCTGCTTGGCTCTTGCCCCCTGTGTTGCTCCCCTGTGGAAGCCCCCCTCCCAATGCCTCCCAGATGGCTTCACAGTTAGGGTGGGTCCTCTAGGGCCACTCTAGGGAGCCCAAGCAGTAGAAGGTTCTAAGGGAAATAGCACTTGGACAGCAGGGGCAAAGGGCTGGAGGATCCATGTGTGACTACAGCATAGGTCACCAGGCTGTCACTTCCTCAAGGAAACAGAAACCTGGACAGAGAACAGACATGTTTAAACTTTTTTTCTTTAAGAGACAAGGTCTCCCTTTGTCACCCAGGCTAGTGCAGTGGTGTGATTATAGCTCACTGTAACCTCAAACTCCAGGGCTCAAGGGATCCTCCCATCTCAGCCTCTGAGTAGCTGGAACTACAGGTGTACGCCATCACACCTGGCTAATTTTTTAATTTTTTTGTAGAGATGGGGTCTGGATACATTTTCTAGGTTAGTCTTGAACTCCTAGCCTCAAGCAATCCTCCTGACTGAGCCTCCCAAAGTGCTGGGATTACAGGCATGAGCCACTGTGCCCAGCCCATGTTTAGACTTTTAAACACATTTCTTCTTGGTTATAAAAGTAATTCCTAAACAATCCAGAAAAAAAACCCAAAAATGTAAAGAAATAAAAATCCTTATTCAGAGTTTCACCAGACATAAGCACAGTTAATTCTTTGGTGGTTTCCTATCTTTTTTATATGTGTGCTTATATATATACGTATTATGTATTTATAGGATAATTATACTGTATGTATAATTTTATATCTTGCTTTTCAATTACTATTATATTGAGCATTTTCACTTGAATTCTTCATTAATATAAAATGGTTGCATTAATATAATTTCAATATATTTACTCATGTATGATATAGATCTACCATAATTTGCCTGTTTCTTTGCTGTTTAAGTTATTCTCATTTTTAGGTGTACAAATATTTGTCAACATTCATAATATTTTTTACATTAAATTTGTGGATGTGGATATGGAATTACTAAAGTAAAGAAAGTCAATTTGTTAGTATGTGGTAGGAAAATAAGAATGCAGGGAAAGATTGAGGGAAAGAAATTGCAATTGAGATGGGGAGAATTAAAATTATCCTGAATTCTACTCTCCCCGAGGCAGGTGCATTCCTAACATTTTTTGTGATTGGAGGCAAGAGTATAACTGAAGGTCCACATACCATAGCTAAATATTTAGGAGTTATAATTCCAGCTAACAAGAAGTTAAATGAAATACCTTCTATCCTTACCTTTGCAGCAATCTGGAAGTCCAGGTTCACATTCAGAACTCGGACTCCCTGAAGTTCCACGACAGAACGTGGTGGCGTGGGGGGAGCTGACCTCTGGCCCTGGTCACTTCCTTTCTAATTTTTTGGCTCCTACCTCCTTGTCCCTGTGCCTTCCCCATGCCCACCATGGGGGGCCTGTGTGTGGACACAGCCCCATGTGCCAGGGCCACCCACACCCCTACAAATAGCCTCCTCTTGGCCACCCCTGGAGTCCAGACATGTCCACAGCAGCATGGTCACCCTCAAGAAGAAGCATCTGGAAAGAGGCTTGTGCAGCCCTGGAAATGGGCCAGTGGCCCTTTGGATCCCAGGGAACCCCAGGGTCCTGGGTACCAGTCCACATGTACTAGAAGAAGGGTGGGCTAGAGCTTCAGGTGGGCTTAACGCTTTGGCCTTAAGGGTCCTTGTCCCATGGAGGGAAGCAGGTTGGAGCAGGGTGGGGCGAGGCCCTCTAAGTGGTGGGGCTTTGGGAAGGACCCGGGTCTAAGGGTGATATAGATGCAAAGAAACCCAGAAATAAAATTTGTGAGTGTATCATTCCAGACACTTTTCTATGCACACACACACACACTCCACAAGTAAGATTGTTCTGCACATGTTATTGTATAGTCTCCTTTCAAAGTTGGTGACATTGCAAACGTATTTCCAGGTTAATACATATATATGCACGAACATTTCTAGTAACATTTCCAGCAAGTTTTTACGCTCTCATTGAGGCTGTACCTTGTTTTAAACCATACCTTTGCTCGCAATGAGCATTTTAATGTTTGTTTCATTGCTCATGGGATACGCAAAAGATGACATTTTACTGTTGAGTCACAGGGAGGTGGAACATGGTTCCATATGTTCAGGAACCTGTTTGTTTTCTGTTCCCAGCATTGTCCCTTCGTAGCCTTTGCCTGCTGACCGAAAGGCATTCCAAGGGTGCTTCTGAAGGCCTGGAGAAGGGCGACATCATGGCAGACCGATGATGGAAACCGCCAGGTGGCCGATGAAAATCGGAGGGTGCCCATCCCTGTTGCTGATCAAGAACTTTTGCTTGGCCTAAGAGCACTGGGACACGGAAGAGCCCCCAGAGGGAAAGCAGAGGAACTGGCCGTCTGTTCGCAGCAGCGGGGACGGGATTTGGCGGAAGCGCCGACCATCAGGGATGCGAGATCAGTCTCTGCAGGGGAAGCGCAGGCGACTCGTTTCCTGACCCCTGGCCATCTTGGGGCTTCCTATATAATGATTCAGCCTTTCTCCCGCAGGAAAATATAATTTGGCTTGTGACCTTGAAGTTTATTCCTATCACGGGAGGTGATTATGCCCTGGAACACGCTCCCCAGGGCAGTAATTGTTTAAGTGCTTTCCTCCCCCTGGATGGCAGGAAAACAATACATGACATATGTCGGCTGACTACCCATGTGAGCGATTCAGGTAGGAAAACATCATTCTCAGAGGGTCAATTTGCTCCAGTGGGGCATATTTGTTTTTGCAAGGATTTAGATGCATAGGGTCCGTCGGAGTCACCTGCATTTGCCCACAGGAGCAACTAAGACCTTTTCCTGTTCTCGAGCCCATCTGCTGGGTGGGTACGTTGATGTAAGTGACATGCAAAAGTGTGAAGCATTTCCTATTTGGGATAAATCTCTTCTTGGGCCGCCTTTAGGGGTTGACACCGCAAGTGCTCATATAATGTATTGTCCACATTGCCTCGAGTGTGTGTCTGAGCTGCGTTCCCCAACAATATTGCAAGCTCCTTTGGAGGCAGGTCTTTTGTCTCTTTGATTCCCCTGGGTGGAATAACTTTTGAGATAATTCTCTGCTCCCAAATTGCACCACCCGGTGGCATCCCTGTGCTGGGCTCTGCACCAACAGATCCTTGCTCCTCTAGGTTCATCTCTGTCGTTCCTGCTGTCCGCTGTGAAGGGTAGCTGCGGTCCCCACCTGCCTCCTTGTGTGGATTAGACTTTGGGCTACAGTAAGGTTTCCTGGGGAAGTGTGTAGTCTCCACTTATCACTTAAGATGAATTGGGGCTAAAACATGAAAGCTATGTTTTTTAAAGGCCCAGAAAGGGAACCTGCTTGGCATTAGACTCCAGCCACTTGTCAACTTCATGAAACACTGTCACTGGCCTTAGAATTGATGCAACAATTGGCAGCAGGCAGTGTTGCAGTAATGCATCTGTTGGCCTCCTCTTTCTTGATAGAAAGATTTGCTAATGGGGAACTTAAAGGCAGAGGACCTCTTTTTGCAAACAAGGGCTTTGGGAGTAGCTGTGAGCTTGCTGCCACAGTGCCTCAGTGCCACAGTGCCTCAGTGCCTCTGTGCTGGAGTCATGCAATGTGGGCAAAGCCAAGCAGGGCAAAGGGTGACTAGGCAGATAGGACACGCCCACCCCAAGTGCCCAGGTGGGGTTGTTCTTATCTGTGCCAGCAAAGCCATCGCTAAGGCCTGTGTGGTTGGGTCACTCGTGCAAGTCAGCTGCGCTCCGTAATCCTCCGTGTGTCCCCAGATGACGACAGGCATTTTTCACAACTGCAGGGAATAAATGTCCACGACAGCAGGGAATGGGCTGCTCCTGGGGCTGGGTGAAGGACAGATCTTTCCCGCTTATGTGAAAGACCAGCAGGTTCTGTGTAATCCTCGTTCTTTCTGGACACGTGTCTGTCCTCAGCTAAGTTCTCCAAGTCACAGAGCTGTGGACTGGACATAGCCACTTTTATCCACATGTGTCCAAAGCTACTAAGAAGCTGCAGATCCTGCCTCTCAGAGGGGTGAAGTGGCGTGTCCAAAGTCACATAGCAAAATAACATCAGTTATTGGGGTAAAGTCTAGCTCTTCTGATCCCCATTCTAGTTTTTCTAGCAATTACATGGATGTAGGGAGACTTAGAGGAGGAAAGACTCCCCCGGGGCAAAAAACGGCGTCTGTTGATAGCCCTGTGCACCACTATGGGATCTACAGATGGGGACCAGAGGGCTATGACACAGCTTAAGGGAAGTGAGACACGTTAAAGGCAAGTTAACAGCACACCCCTAACTCTGCGAGCCACGCCTTAAGTCGAGATGCCTGACTCTGTATTGCGGAGTGCCTTTACTGCTTTCGGTCAAACCCAGAAGGACTCTGAGGGTCTCTTTGGCAAAAGGAATTAACATCTCCCTCCACCATCTCGAGCAATGTTTTGTAGATCTCGCGCCAGTCTGCCTGCCTCGTCTCAGCCTTAATCCCAGCTCATGCTCTCCGAGGGAGCCATTTCTTGGTGGTTTGCATCCTTGTCCCTATGCCTCGCTCTCAGCCGATGCTTCCTTTGGAATGGGGTGGTGGGAGAGGGCTGAGCAGCTTTGGAGAAGCATCTCACAGGACCCCACTAGTTCACGGTGCCAGGACCCGAGTCAGGGCAAGGCTTGGCTCTTCCAGCCCGTGGAACAGGGATTTATAAACCTTTGGGTTTGTGACCCACGGGAGGAAATGCATTTTATATTATTGTGTGTGTGTGTGTGTATGTGTGTGTGTAACAAAAATCTGATGAAACCGTACCATCCTTATGTGTGATTCGCCGATACATTCTATTCCATTCTATTGAATGAAAACAGTTGCTAGCTGTGACCTGGTGAATTGATTTTACGTTCCCCTGACAGGTCACGGTCCCACCATTGGAGAGCCGCTGCTGCAGAGAACACACCTTCGGCCCCCACTGCAGCAGCGTGGGGAGCGGGGGCTGTCGAGGGGAGAAGCTGCAGCTCCAGGCAGCCCGGGCGGCTGCGTCGGGGCTCCGGAGCCAGCAGCACATGGAAGGAACAGTACAGGGGCTCTTGCGTTGGCCGATGTTCTTGTTCTGTGGATAAACAGAAGACACCAGCCTTCGGTGCCTGCAATCTGCTACCTTTCAAGAGCTTTCCAACTCAGCCTGAGAGAGGAAGGAAGGACGGCGTGATCAGAAAGAAGAAAGCCACCTCCTCTGCCCAGTGTGCCCCCCCAGCTCTGCAGGCTGCACGTGGCCGAGGCTTTCTTTTGCCCCCCAGGGATGCCTGTTGAGAGCAAGACATCTTGCAGAAGGGCTGGGACGGAGGGACGCATGATTTGGTGGCATTCAGCCCCTAGGCTGCCCTGCTCCTAGCTGGTGCCTCCCTGCACCACCGGGTGTTCCACAGAACGTGCCATCTGGGGGCCTTGCTGCAGGAGATGGCTGGGACTGTGCAAGCCAACTGTGCTGCTGCTAAGACAGAATGTGTCCCCGCGAGAATGTACGCCGCGTCCAGGGGAGGCATCCAGCCTGCCTCCCTTTGAGATGGCTCTGCCAGTCTCCATGGGGACTTGAGATACCGATTCCCGCAAGGGGCGGCTGGTGGCTGCGGGGGAGGCATGCCACCTCGGGGACCGTTTCTTGGGAGAGGGGTGGGTAGGCAAAATGATTTCTAAAAGAAAGCCTAGCCAGTTGACCAACTCCAGGTCTCCACCCAAAGTGGGCACAGCCCCTCGTGGGTCAGGCGCTTGAATGAATCCTTCTGCACTGTGTGTCTTCTCCATGCCCCCATGCAATGGGCTGGAGTTTGGGGAAGGCGGTGTGAGCAAAGTGCAAGGCAAGGCCCTAGCTTTTAAGGAGCTTACACTCCAATCAGAACAAGGATATTAAAAACAGAAAGCTATTAATGCACAGTACATAGAGAATGTAAGCAAACGCTGCACTAAGTGGGGCAGAATGTAAATGCTGCAGGAGATCAGGAAGGGGAGGCCTGGTGGGGGCCAGGCGCAGTCTCACAGAGCCATCGGTGGAAGGGAGGGAGGCCGTCCAAAAGCAGGGCAGTGGGAGGAGGGCTGGAGCTGGATCTGGGGGGACAAGAAGACCATTGTGACGGGCATTGCCATTTGCTCCCCTTTGCACGGGGAGCAAAGAGGGGTTGGGCTGGAGGGTGACCCTTGATGCCCAGCTGATGAATGTCCTTAGGAAATTTAAAATCCAGAGCATGTATTGCCAGCTACTTGGGAGGCTGGGGTGGGAGGATTCCTTGAGCCCAGGAGTTCAAGGCCAGCTTGGGCAACATAGCAAGACCCTGTCTCTAAAAAAAAAAAATAGAAAATAAAGTAAGACACAATAAAATCCAGAGCCTTAATCTTTAGGGAACATGTATGGCACATACAACAGGTACACATGGCACAGGATGGGTACCCAGGGTGGGAAGTGGCTCTCCGTGGCAGGGCAGCTGCTGTGGGAGATCTGATGGATAAAACTCCCAGACGCTGAGGCCACTGATAGTTCTTGAGCGAGGAGGGCAGATCTGTGAGTGGCAGCAGGGCGTGATAGCCCATGCATGGCCCCTGGAGGCACGCAGGCCTGTGTTCTCTGCTCTTCCAATTTTGAGCTGTGAGATGTTGCTCACTTCTGTGGACCCGAGCATCCTCGTCGGTAAGAAGGGGTGCAGCACAGTAATCCCTGTCGATCACCTGTCACATGTCAACATCATGGGTCTGGCACATGCTTAGGCCCTCAAGAAAGATAGCTTAAGTTATTATTGTTACCCCATTTCTGTTTCTTTAGCCTTGATCCTATTTCCTAAGGCAAAGTGACAGGCCCCTAGAAAGTTCACCCTACTACAGGGGTCACCCAGGGGTATGTCATATGAGATCACCCAGGGGTATGTCATATAGGGTCACCTAGCGGTATGTCATATGGGGTCACCACAGGGGTATGTCATATGGGGTCACCACAGGGTGGCTGTCTGGCATGATTTTTTCCTGTGCCTTGGCGGGTAGGGGACATCACCACACCTGATGGGAACAACAGCCATATTCTACTGGGTCCAACTGCCAGGCACCGGCACTGGGCCCCCCACTAAAGTCACCAGGGATGAGGGAGGCAGAGTGAGACATTAATTGGAAGTGGAGATGGAAGGAGGAATGTCAACCTGGCCTTATTGCATTTCATCCAAAAAATGTATCGAGTGACTTCTCCATGCTACCGATATGCTACTACCTTGGGGACACAAGCCATTCACCCTTTGGATGGTTAAATATTGGAAGCTTATTATGAGTGAGTTATGAAAGCATAAAGAATATGCTTTAGATAATCCATGACAGGAGGATTTCGTTTTTAAGGGAAGTGTTGTGCAGAAAATGTGGGGAGATGAAAGCATGTCCCCACCGACCCCCTTACTCCCGGGCATTGGTGATACCTGCTCTGCCCTCACTTCTGGGGGACCCATCGAGTGGCCATTGATTGGTGCTGACCACCTGGTTCACTAGAACAAAGACATTCCACTACCCTGAAGCCCAGAGTGGGAGGTGCTCTGAAGAAAAGAGATTTCTCTCGTTGCTTTAGCTCTATGTCGCCATCAAAGATTTTGACAGAGGGGTCTTCCCAGAATGAAAAATGTGAAAGAAGCTGGAAATTAGGGAATTGCTATCTGCAGCCTTGTTTCTTTGGGGAATTGGTTCTTCCTTGTGATTTATTTTCCCACTTTGAAATATTTCATTCATTCATCCCACAATTCATTTATGGCATTTCATCAACATGCCACTGGGCGTGAAAAACTGGGCTAACTTAATTTTTTTCCTTTGCCACTAAAAAAGCGTTTCCCAATTCAGTCATCTTATTAGGTTTTTTTTTTCCCCTTCCCAAAAGTGGATCCTTATTTGAAATGGATTTTGAAAACAATAAACTGGAGGATACGGAGGGAAAAAGAGAGCTCTATAATGATCCTAGTGTAATTTATATTTAGCTAGCAGCAGGAATAATATCAAAACAATGTGGCCAATCATAGCTACAGCTCCTTTGAGAACACTGAATGATATCTCTTGCATAAAACCACTTTGACAAGTACCAAGTGATCAGGAAGGGATTTTCAGGGAGCAAAGTGGAAAGAGCCCAGGCTCAGGGGGTCAGACACCTGGGTTCAAATCTTGACTTTATTATTTACCAGCCACGTGACCTTTAGCAAGTTATTCATCCCTGGTAAGTTGGGGCTTATGCATATAGAGAGGCGTTTAGAATATGGCGGGTGCAGCTCATGGTAACCATTATTAATATGCAAAGACAAGGCAGTCCTATGATCATTATCATGATTATTTTTCATTATTTTCAGTCTTGGAATGAGTCATGTGGCCTTTCTGCAACCTTCCTAATGATATTTCATTGAGGTTAATATCAGAATGAGATTGTGTTCCGGAACTACTGATGTTCGTGGGAGGCGAGGTCAGGGAGTGCAAAGTATCGAGAGGCAGTTTTTTGAGGTTAGACTTTGACAGAGTGAAGTGCGTGAAGTGCTTAAAATTTAGTTTTTCTATCACTGAAAACCCTTAGGGTGAGCTTTTAGTTCATACAAGTTTGTATCACTTACTGTGTACAAGGTGGGAGGAATGCAGGGAATAAACCTCCGAGGTACCTGAGCAGAGGAGGCAGATGTGTGATCACAGGATAATGTGAGGAGTGCAACAAAAAGGAGATGCACATGGATTTTGGGTAGAGCATCCACAATGAGATGCTCTTGGCCACTAGTAACAGAAAGCTTGACTAAAAATGGCTTAAACAGCAAAGAGATGTATTATCTTCCATAGAAAGAAGTCCTCATAGAGGAAAGCCCAGATCTGGTTAATTTAGTGATTCAACAAAGATCTAGGTTCTTTTTTATCTTCCTACTTTGCCATCCTCACTCAGTATGTTGTCTAGACCCCCTCATGATCACAAGAGGGCTGCGGTAGCTCCAGGCATCACCTATCAACAGACTAACACCCCGGAACAGATAAAAGCCTGTTTCTCCCATGCGCTTCTCTCTCTTTAAGAAAGAAGACAACTTTCCTAGAAGTGCCTACTCGACATGGCAGACTTCTCCTAACCTTTCCTAACCACGTTACCTGGCCATCCATGAGAAATAACAGCAAAGAAAAGGACAATACCAAAACTTGCATTTATATCTGCTAAAATTCACCCAAGTTATTGGAAGAAGGAGAACTTGAGATAAAACTGGGGCTTTGCCAGCACTAAAGAAAACAGAAGTTGGCTTTTAGATAGGCAGCCGAGAGAGTCTGCAACAACACGTAACAAATTCAGCCTTGGAGAGAGTGGGAATCTGGAAGGCTTTCTGGAGGAGGTCACACCTAAGCTGAGACTAAAGCCTTGCTACTCAAAGTGTGGACCAGCAGCATCAGCATCACCTGGGTGCTTGTTAGGAATGCAGCATCTTAGGTCTGTTCCAGACCTACTGAAACCAGCATCTGCCCTTTTATGAGATGTCCAGGTGAGTCATATGTACACTGACATTTAAGAAGTACTGACGTAAAGCATGAATAGAAGGTGGCCAGGTAAAAGGATGTGAAGAGTGGAATGGGGATAGGCAATACAAGAGGGAATTGCATGAACAGAGGTAGTAGAAGGAAAAGCAATACAATACATGGGGTTAACTCACCTCAATGAGCTTAAGGTTGTGGATTTTTAGATGTAGCTTCCAGTTTTTAAAATATTCAGGAAACTGAATCCATCCAATATTACCAGTATGGAAGAACTAACACTTGTTGAATGTCTACTGTGTTCGAAGGCACTGTACTGATGTTCAGTATAGGCTGCCCTGTGCAGTGCTATATAGATTGTTCCATTTGCAGATGGCTACTTAACAAACTACTTTCAAACTTAGTACAATAAAACGACTGTTTTATTATATCTCCCAATTTTATGGGTCAGTAGCTTGGGCAGGGCTCTGCTGGGTGATTCTTCTACTTCCCATTGTGTCAGCTGGTCATTGTGTGGGCCGGTCTTTGGGGCACAAAATGGCTTACCTCACATACTTGGTGCCTAGGTGGAGCGGTTTGAGCCTGGGTTTAGTGGTGCCCCTCTTCTTCTTGTGGTCTCACTGCCTCTCCATGTGGCTTCTCCAATGAGGTAATCAGCCTTCTTGGCTCAGGGCTCCAAGAGACTAAGATGGAATCTGCCAGTTCTCTTAAAAGGCAGGCCAGGAACTGGCAGATGTCACTTCTGCCCTACTCTCCCCCCTTCTCCCCTACAGCCAAAGCTGTTAACTGGCCAGCCCGGAGTCAAGAGGAGGGGAGGATATAATCCCACCTCTCTGTGGAAGGAATGTCAAAGAATCTGCAGCCATCTTCAATGCACTGTATAGATAGTAAGTCATTTATTCCCCTAATAACCCTGGGGTAGTTATTATTAAGTTATTAGTTTACAGGTAAAGAAATAGAGGCACAGTGTGGTTGAAGAATTTCCCCAAGGTCAGTGCTTAGGAAGAAAAAGCATCCAGATCAGAATCCAGCTCACTTGGCTCTAGCAACCACACCTAACAGCTGTACCATCTTTGCCTCTCCTGAGGAAGGCACCTTTACCAAAGAATCAGCTAGAGAACGTTTCTGTAGTTTTAAACCACAGGGCAGAACCACAACATCGGCCTCCTGTTGGCTAACTCACTCACCCTTTTAATACTCTGGTTCGGGCCCCACATTTTTAAGAGCTTTTGATCTCTTCTTTCTGCGTCCAGTCAGTAAGCCCAGCCGGGTGTGGAGGATCCAGCCGCAGATTAAATGCATTTCAAATAATGAGAAGACACAACCCTGCCTTCGCTGCCCCCTCTCCTCTCCTGGATTGTTGAAGGATTATTTACTGTGTTTGCCTTGACTCGAGCTATTTAATTTTTCCAAAACAGATGCAGCCGATTGATTAATGGCATTCCCCACTAAAAGTCAGAAATGTCAGCAAGACGAGCAGAAGCCGGTGTCATTCTGGACTAGAACAATAGAGACGGCTGAGAA